TTGTATGTGAATACTTGCTGCAACATATAGGTAAACAACATGAATCTAACAGCAAACTCTAAATGCTTATATTGAAACCATAGATAAATTGACCACAAAATCATCCGCGCTATTTTCAAGCAATGCTAAAATTTTTAGATCTGAACTTTAAGAGGAACTTTTTTAGAAAGTTGAAATGGAATATTTTGTAAGCCTTCTTTCATAAATGAGACCTCAAGCTTCAGTAGGTCGTAAAAGACTGATTCAATAACTCAAGAAAAACTGCTTAGAGGTTGTAACAGCATTCCTATCGTTGCGATTATGTTGATGGATGAGGTTAATCGAACGCATGCGGACGTAAATGTTGAAAAATTTCTGGTGCTGAGGGAAGAGAACAGGTGCATCCGCAAAGGCAGAAAGTTCTGTTAATATGGCTTAGATGAAAAGGTAAGCGTTTCTTTGTTGAGAAGCGATTTCTGTTTTGCACAAAAATAGATCCCATCATTTTATTCATATCGCTGTTCCCAGAATCAAGGTCAACAATTGCGAAGTACATAATTCTATCATTTAAACTAATTCAAGGGTAATGAAATTCACAACTATGAAGAAAGTTCTGTGAACTAGTAATGTCTATTAATTTATAAATGTATTCATCATTAACACTTCAGGTACAAACAAATAACAATAACGAACTATTTGGCAATAGAATGTTGTGCAGCAGATTCCTAGTTTTCTTTCCTCAATTTTATGTTCAACTTTCGTCGGGAAATGCTTCTCGTATTCACTTGAACAGTACCGAATGGAAGATTTCGATCACGTCCGTGTATCATCGGTAGGACCGGAGGAAAGGCTTAAATTTTGCAGAATTACGTCAGCTTATTAGTAAAGGTGTGAAAGTAAGTTTTAAAAAAGGTGATCTATTGCATATACTTACCTATTCGGCCATTATTTCTTGGTCTTCGTGTAGGATAAATCAATGTTTCGTCAATGATAGAATCTAAAAAGCTCCTGATTCTAGAAATGTAAAGCTTGATGTATTTCAGTGTACATACCTTTGGCGTCTTCCATTCCCAACTCGTGTGATTCCGAGAATGGGACAGATGAAGAAATG